CTGAGCTCAGCTGAGGAAAGAGAACATATATTCCTCCAACACTGTATAGGAAAGCCCTGAGCTCAGCTGAGGAAAGAGAACATATTTTCCTCCAACACTGTATAGGAAACTCCTGAGCTCAGCTGAGGAAAGAGAACATATATTCCAACATTGGTTCATTTGCGGATGGGATCTTCTTCTATGGTGTGCAGATGCTAAGCGAATGCGACGAATCACTGACTACTTCCCGGTGCAGCCTTCTCCTGTTGTGAAGGAGACCTCAGAAGAGGCGGTGACGAGTTGTCCAGTTCAGGTGAGTTCATGGAGTGTATCTGTAGGTGTAGCTGATAGTGTTGTAGGATAATATTGCTACTACTACTACGCCTCCCGTGGAAGGGCCTCAGCTGTCGGCAGTAGAAGCTGAGCCACTGTGATGCTGTAATTGATTCGGAGCGTCTGCTCAAGAGGGTGTATGAACTCTCTTGAGGAGATGCTCGCCCCGTACGTTATGATTAGTGCTATGCTAAGTGTACCTATTTCTAACGTAGGAAAAAAACTGCAATGACCAATGCAAAGTAAATTTTCAATGGTCAACTTCTTGAGTTCACTGAATGTCGGCTTGGGTTAGTCGAACGAGTCGAATCGGCCAGCTTGTGACAGACTGGTAACGAGTTGGCGGATGACGTCAGTGAGCATGCCGCGGTTAGAAGGGGATTGAGATTGGTGACGGTTTGCTAGAGCGATTTCAACGAGGAGGGTGTGAGTTCTTCGCAGTGTTGGAGGGATATATGTTCGCGTTCCTCAGCTGAGCTCAAGAGTTTCCTATACAGTGTTGGGGGAATATATGTTCGCTTTCCTCAGCTGAGCTAAGGAGTTTCCTATACAGTGTTGGAGGAATATATGTTCGCTTTCCTCAGCTGGGCTCAGGAGTTTCCTATACAGTGTTGGATTAATATATGTTCGCTTTCCTCAGCTGACCTCAGGAGTTTCTTCGCCAATTATAGAAGTTTGTGAAGTACTGACGATCTTTCGAATGTCTCATTGAGGGAGGTACCTCCTACCACTCGCAGTGTTGGAATATATGTTTACTTTTCTCAGCTGAGCTCAGGAGCATTCTCAATAATTATAGGAGTTTGCACATTTAGGGTAGAAGTGTTCAGAATCCAATAGAAATTTTTCGAGATTTGCTGTAAATCATCCCGTTGTCACCAACACACGTAGTCGGTCATGCGCGTATTTCACTCGTGATTCAATTTTGGGAGGCAGAATCAGTTCTGGGATAGATTCCCACTCGTAAAACTCGATTAGTTCGGACGAGTTTTAAATTTAGTTTATTTGACAACTCCCGCGAGATGACATTTAGTGATCCTGAGAGAGTCTGCGAGGAGGCACAGCAATACCTCAAGAAGATCGATCATCTGCCGCAGTTCCAGGACCCCAGAGCTAACGGAACGCTGGTGACCGGGGGTTTCACGTGGGGAAGTTGTGGGTACTTTCGTTATGGTCAGGTTGAAACACCGTATGGAGTTGGCATCCTATGTGGAGTGGATAGCCACGGCCGAGCCTCTGTGCAGCTGGGCACAATGCGTCTCTGTATTAAGCAAGCTCTGGTACGATTCCTCCCCGAGAAGATACCCTCCGGGAAGGACCTGGATGGCTCAGCTGCTGCCCACAACGATAATTTGAAACGTGATCTTCCGCTGGCTGAAGAAGAGATGTGTTTTTTCGAGAGTGATCGAAAATGCAAGCGCTGTTAGATCTTGCTACCTGCTTGTACGAGTTCCGTAACACTGCTATCGGTGATTTAAGCCCATCCGCTTTGGCTGATGGCCACGTGGGTGTGAAGGCACGTCAACCTCGGAGGCGAACTGAATGTGTTGTGTTGAGGGCTAATCGGCGGAGGCGGCGCGCAACAGAGGGCATCGATGTGAATTGCTTTCCTTGGCGATTAGATGATTACTCCACTTCTCTTCCGGAATACCCCATCGTTGTTGATTCTTTGCTGATTTTGGTTATGACAAACTGCATTGTAGTCATGTTCTTACGAAATAATTCACACAATTGTTGTCCATGTTCTCATGTTTGACCTGAGAGAGATTCTCATTGAAAGTTGTCCGGTAACGGCCGCCCTAAATATTGCCTGAATGACCGTCAGATCACTGAGACGGGAATTCTTAGAATTCCCGACTACTAGAATTCAATTCTAGTAGTCTTCAACTAGCAGAAAGTGCATCTCTGCAAGACGTCACAGATAGCGCTTCTCCCCTCCCACAAGGATGCCATCTCGTAGATCACCACAGGCGCTCTCCGTACATGATGTGAGAAAGGAGTGGTATGACATGAGCAGCGGAGCGAAATTCACGTTTTTCACGTTTGCACGCGTAGTCTTTTACCGGCGACAGTCCCCGAGATACGACCAAAAAATGAGATCAGACCTCTCTATGATCTTCGCAGTTCTATCGATAATTTTCCTCCTGCTAGCCTCAAGAGGGACATGCGTCACAAGCTGAAATGCCACGGCCTGATACGCGGCAATCTGAGACTATCACAGTGGAGTAATTCATTGCTCTGGCAGGGATGATAATCTCCCCAGAAAAACGCGACCATGGGGGACTATCCTCGATTCTCATCGTTGGCAGATGCGACTGGAACTTCGATATAGCGGAAGGATACTGCAGCCTAGCCTTCACAGCGCGGCGCATGGACGCTCTTGTTTGCTTGGATTTATGATTGAGATTTGCAGTGGGAGTGTGAATGATGTTAGACCGGCTGATCATCGCAGTTTCTTGTTTTGGTCGCTCCAAATGTTCAGTCGTCTGTGTACTCTCGCACTCATCACAGTTCCATGTGTCTCTGCCTGGGGTGTTGATGGACATTCTACCGTTGCTGAGGTTGGTGACAATCGTCTCTCAGTGAATGCCAGACAGGCCGTTAACGCTATCATGGGTGATGGTGTCCGCCTTGGAGAATTCTCTAGCTGGCCTGACTTCATCCTTCACGGTACTCCCGAAGAGAAGGAGGAATGGGGATGGTCAGCCGGATTGCACTATGCTGATTCCCAAGACTGCACGTTTGTTTACGACCGAGATTGCAAGGACGACTGGTGTGTTGCTGGTGCCATCAAGAATTATACCAGGAGGGTTGCCGACGAATCCTTGTCTCGTTATGAGCGTCAGGTGGCTATGAAGTTCCTCGTTCATTTCATGGGTGATATCCATCAGCCTCTTCATGCTGGAAGTTCTTCCAACCTCGGTGGTAATTTGATTAAGGTGACCACAGACTTCGCCAACAACAAGAGCACCAATCTCCACTCTGTTTGGGACTTTAGCATTCTCGATGAGTGGGAGCTTGAGCGTTACCCCGGCCAGTATGTCTTCCAGGACGATCCGGCTGATCACCCCGGTGAGGACGACGAGATCCAGAGAATCGACCGTACCCGCTTCTGGACCAACATCGTTGATTCTATTGGTGTTGATTTGATGGTTGGTGGTAAGTACGCCGATAAGGTCGACGGTTGGCTGAAGGATTGCGAGACTAACGGTATCGACGAGTGTGTGAATACCATGCTCCAAGATGATGTTGATATCGCTTGCAGTATGGCATACACTAACGTTGATGGCACTTCCGTGGAGAGCGGTGATGTCCTCTCATTCGACTACTACACTACCCGTATTGAGACTGTTAGAGAGCAGCTTGCCAAGGGTGGTGTTCGCTTCGCCTGGCTGTTGAACAACATCTTCGAAGATGGAACTACCGTCATTGACGATGCTACTACTACCACGCCAATCCCTGCGACTACTGCTGTTCCTACTACTACTCCTTACATGACTTGTGAGGACGCTGATAGGCTCTGCGCCAAGTCGTACGAGGGTTCCTACTGCAAGTACTGGCTCGATGAGCCAGTGTGTTCCGGCAGTGACAAGCCATGCTCTTGCTCTGCCCAGTCCTCTACTACTGGGGTTGACTTTTAACTCAATCGTTTACAGCAGTAGGTTGGGATTTCTTTTCGTATGTGTACGTTCTCGCGACTCGATGTTGGAGTCCTTCACGGGCTTCTTGGTTTTTCCTGTTCTCGTTTCGAGTACGTTTGCTTTGTATCTATAGTAGATGATATCTATGGTGTGCTTTCTCTTTTGGGAATTCAAATTTCTATTGCGCCTATAACACAGTCGGATCGGTTCTGATTTAGTTGAGGCTACTGTTGAGGTCGAAGAACTGTGTTGAGTTGAAAATCGCTCGGATGAACGTGAGTTAATCTCATTGATATCCTTTGAGTTCATCGCCGATGGCAGGGAGACAATTTTTGTGTTAGGATTGTGATTCGCTAAACATTGGTTGTTGCACGTTGACACTCTCACTGTTCTCCCGATGTTTTTACCGGTTGATATCGTATGATATTTTGACATTTCCTCCGAAGGCTCTTCAGGATGGCACCTGGGAACTCTCTTCTTACTAGAATGAGTTGTTAAGTAACTTGGTACTCGGCATTGATGCTATAGGTTAGTTTAGTGAGCTCGGACGATCTTAGTTTAACCTCTTCATGGGGCTGGCCTCCATGCTATGTAATGTTTGTGGTAGTTCCTTGTTGCTACTGGTACTATGTTTAGTCGTCTGTGTACTCTCGCACTCATCACAGTTCCATGTGTCTCTGCCTGGGGTGTTGATGGACATTCTACCGTTGCTGAAGTTGGTGACAATCGTCTCTCAGTGAATGCCAGACAGGCCGTTAACGCTATCATGGGTGATGGTGTCCGCCTTGGAGAATTCTCTAGCTGGCCTGACTTCATCGTTCACGGTACTCCCGAAGAGAAGGAGGAATGGGGATGGTCGTCTGATCTTCATTACGCTGATACGATCAACTGCACGTTTGTTTACGACCGAGACTGCAAGGAGGACCGTTGTGTTGCTGGTGCCATCAAGAATTACACCAGGAGGGTTGCTGACGAGTCCTTGTCTCGTTATGAGCGTCAGGTGGCTATGAAGTTCCTCGTTCATTTCATGGGTGATATCCATCAGCCTCTTCATGCTGGTCGCATCGAGGATTATGCTGGTAACAAGATTTCCGTCACCACGGACTTCGCCAACAACAAGAGCACCAACCTCCACTCTGTTTGGGACTTTAGCATTCTCGATGAGTGGGAGCTTGAGCGTTACCCCGGCCAGTATGTCTTCCAGGACGATCCGGCTGATCACCCCGGTGAGGACGACGAGATCCAGAGAATCGACCGTACCCGCTTCTGGACCAACATCGTTGATTCTATCGGTGTTGATTTGATGGTTGGTGGTAAGTACGCCGATAAGGTTGACGGTTGGCTGAAGGATTGTGAGACTAACGGTATCGACGAGTGTGTTAATACCATGCTTCAAGATGATGCCGAAGTGGCTTGCAGTATGGCATACACTAACGTTGACGGCACTCCTGTAGAGAGCGGTGATGTCCTCTCATTCGACTACTACACTACCCGTATTGAGACTGTTAGAGAGCAGCTTGCCAAGGGTGGTGTTCGCTTCGCCTGGCTGTTGAACAACATCTTCGAGGATGGAACTACCGTCATTGACGATGCTACCACCACTCCCATTCCTACGACTACTGCCGTTCCTACCACTACCCCGACCACTAACCCTTGTGATCAGGCGGATAAGCTTTGCGCGAAGAACCATGCTGGTTCCTATTGCAAGTACTGGCTTAACGAGCCCGTGTGCTTCGGCAGTGATGAGCGTTGCTCCTGCTCTGCATAATTTCTGCTTGTTATTGATTCCTTTCTCCCTTTCTTTCGAAGCGAACGTTTCGCTTGTACTCTCAGTTGTTGCGAACTCAAACAGGCTTACGCATACTCATGTTGTATATGTCTTCTCAGAGGGTAGAGAGTGCCAGAGAGTATTACTTGCGTTGGTACGACAATTTTTGAGGGATTTGGTTGGTTTAGTGGAGGGCTAACTTCTAGTTAGTGTCATATCGCAACAGGGATAATTAGTACTACTAATTAGTACCGAAACCCGAAGACGACGGAAGAAGACCGACACATCATACTACTAATTTAGTAGTAAGGTCAACATAGGAGAGGGCCTCTCCTATGTTGCACGGAGAACGTACCCGCGGAGAGCGAGCTCGATTCGAGCTCAATTCGAGCTGCTCGAATTAGGACTCTTTTTGGCTTCTCGTAAACATCCAAGAGCATCCTACTCGCGTCTAGCCACAGTGACGAGGTTCGCCCGTGACATCAGTCGGGATAAACCTGCAGCGTCCGGAGAGAGTCCCGGTCCAGTAGTCTGCCGCTCAAGCACTGATAGATCACTGGATGGTCTACTGCCAGCGGAACAAAGATGCATTTCGTCCTACCCCGAGTCGGGGTCCCGACTCAAATTTCACTGGTACATCCCAATTTTGACATGGCTCGGCGTAGATCTGCAGCTTCCGGAGAGAGTACTGGTCCAGTACCATGTTGCTCCAGCAGTGCGAGGTCACCCGATGATCAACTGCCAGCCAAACGCTCGGACGTGATCTCTGTTACGCCCATTGAAGCTGGATTCTGTTCTTCTTCCCACATTACTGTCGGCGTCTTCACCCTTGATGGTGGACGCCAGCGTGCTGTGATGACCTCGAGCACGGACAGCCTAGAATTTTCGACTTAAGAGAGCGCTCTGCTGGTCCCGACTGCAGATCATCCTACCACCCGCTGCTTCGAAGTTCGAACTGGCAGAAACTGCGACACAGGCACTCCGTATCTGTCCCCATAGAATGGCTACTTGGTTTTGAGCATTATTATATATTATATATAAGCGTATTCTAAGCAGAACTGTGAGAATTAGGGGAATGATGATGTGTCCTGCAATAACATAACTATCACGGGAATAACATGATGGAATTATGTTGTCAATACGCTCGAGTATCTGTACACGGCTGTACCGGCCGTACTCTACATCTTCATGTATATAACCAGGGTGATAGAAGGAACGACTATAACGAGAAACATCAGCGTAATCATGGTCGGGCACGACCAGTGGACGATGAGGTGACAGTATGTCAGGGGGATTTGCAGTAGGCGTGACCATTGATAAATAACACAATACCCCAAATTGAGGGATAACTAATAATTAACTATAATGTGTCGAACTGCTGCATCAGAGGAGTTGGTGTTGTCATGCCGCCGACAGTCATAACTGGTAGAACTCCGCCGATTATGCCGAATCTACTCACTTTGCACTTTTAGTGTGATAGAACCCGAATCACTAGTCCGCACATTATACCACTTACCGCATCGAATATAATTATCAATACCAGTACGCATAACCTAAGTAATAGTCGTATGATACGACTCGTATCATTATCATCTCCATACCGTAACTCCAACTACGTGCATTATATCATATTCCAACAGACCAATACAACTTCTATTCTCCTCTTCCCAGCCTCCAGCATGTTGGCATAAGAAAATTCACAGTATATAAGTGTACACAAGTCTCAGAAGCCGAGTGGTTGACTGCGGCCAAGTTATGACGACGTACAGTGCTGACAGTGACTGATAGGTCTACACACTTGCGTCCGAGAACCTGTCAGCTCATATCATTGCCACAACCACTAATCATCATCTCACAAGTATCATGAGGTCGACCTCGACCAGTTTAGAATGGACATCTACGAGGAAATATGGCATATATCGATATGTGGCTCGGAACCCGATACCATCAAGTTGAATCTGATCGTATAAAGTGACCTATCTCATATCCCAACAATACCGATTTGATTACAAAGTATAAGGGTAGTGCACTGATGTTCGCATCACTATTGCGCGATGACGGCTTTATCGACACGGTTATCATCGAGTCGGCTCGACGCCATTTCTTCCACGAGTGGTGTCTCATACCCGTTCGATACCGTTCCCCATAAATCATATAGAATGGGACTGCTAGAAAGACGCCCAAGACGGTTGACAAAATCACCCGGATATATTGACGAACACTGACAACTCAACAATACACACAATGTGTGAGGAAAAAGAGCTCGGTCAACGAACAATTGAGTTTGCACTGTCCTGAGGACACTGTCACAGTGTCCTCAGGACAGTGTTGAAAGCTCCCAGAGTGAGATAGAGAGTCTGAGTCATCCAGGGGCCATATGCAGATCCTGATGCAAGAGTCAGATCTTTGATCCGCATATTTTAGATGTAAGCCAGGCGTTACATCAATGATGTAACATCATGTAGCACTTCCATATTACGGCAATACTGCTACCCAGTTTTTCTATTATTTCGCAATATCGTATACAGAGTTCCCTGAAACACAAGAAGAAAAATGCGTGTGAAACAATGTCCCCGAGGATCGAACCCGCGATCTTAACTCGACATTCATGGTGATCATACTCGAACTCTGATTCATGATTCGAGCCTGTGCTGATACTGAGTTATACTTGTGAAAAAGGTATTGAATGGGATTCGAACCTGGGATCCACGCCTGCATCCGAATCAATGGCCAGAAATCGTGATGTTGCATGCTGAGTCTGAGTGGTTGATGCAGATACTGGGTCAACCCGAAAATCATGAGTCTGAGTACGAAATCATGTGCCAGATGCATGATGTTCAGTATAGATTCAGATTCTTGAGCTCTGAATAAGGAATCAACAGAGAATCACAGCCTGAATATTGATGCAGAGCTTTTACGCTGCATCAATATTCAAGCCATCCGACTGTATATGGCACATGTATAATTGCTTTGTTTAATTGCTAGTAGCAATTAAACACCACAAGACATGGTTATCGAGTTCCTTTATAAAAGATGAAACGTAGGGGCGGCTACTCATCGCCGCAGTGTGGATTACACGCCCAAGTGCCAAATTTCGTGTAAAGGCAAGAAAGGCGCATATTTAGAATTCGCCGAACCGCTGGACCGAACTCGGGGAAAAATGTGGGAAAAGAACGGGGAATTTCCGGGAAAATTTCCCGGAATTTCCGGGAAATATGGGAAATGGGAAAAAATCGCCTTTTCCCAAAACGGACAAACCCTGCATGGGTGATGACATAACACTGAAACGCGATCAAAAGTCTGATGTCGTTGTCAACTTCCCTTGAACCACCGCAGTAGCAACCAAAGATCGGGTAACCCGATTCGGGTTGGCCGTTGTCTCCATCATTTACCTATTCATGTGTGGTGTGTACAGTACACAGTGTACTCATGAGTTGTATTGTGTCTATCAAGTATATCAATGAAAATTACTCGTCGCGTTTCAGCCCGCTAAGCCGGCCACGTTGAATAAGAATCGACGCCCGATGGACCATCGCCAGTGAACCACCCGTGAGTAACTACAAACTCCGAATGACAAAGCAATTACTAGAAACCACCAGAAACCATAGTCCTGTCTCACGTTCATACCGGTTTCATCGCCACCCCGCAGTATTGGGCGCTAAAATCGCTCATGTCCTCAACGAAACCGTGCGAAAAAAGCGCGAGCGGGTCTCTGAAGCCACTCCACAGAAGGGCCACCACCTGCGGGGAACATTCCGCATGTGAGGTTATGCAACAGTAACCGGAACAGTGAATGCTCACCCCTTTGACTGGACTCCTCAGGGCAAGGCCAGCCCACTCCGCGCCATCATTACTATCTAACAAGCACGAAGTCTCATCACATGGCAAGATGACAACCTGTGAAACTCACCGGTGGAGAATGCTGCATTCGAGAGAGCGAGCTTGAGCTCATCGGGCGTGATGAATAGTCGCCAATCGTGGGCATTAGGAGGCATGATCTGATAGAAGCAGAGGTTTCCACCAGCCGAGGGCATGGAGTTACATTCAGTATTTCCTGCGTTATCATCCACACAGTAGTATAACTCCAGACAGTCCGAGATATGGTGTCGAATACGAGCACACCACCGGGCTTCAGTACTCGATAGATCTCATTCAAGGCTCCTTGAAGGTCCAAAAGATGCTCGAGGACGTCGGATATGATAACGCCATCGAAGGAGTTGTCGGGGAATGGTATATCATATACCGATCCAACTTGATAGTGTAGATTTGGAATATCACGTCCATGTTGGCGTGCCTGCTGTAAGGAGGCCTCACTGATGTCAATACCAGTGATATTATAGCCGTAGGTTGATGCCATCTCTTCAGTTAATAGACCACCACCACAACCAACGTCTAAGTATCTACCCTTAGAAGGTTTCTTACCTCCCTTAGAGAGATGACGATGAAAGTACGGTGCACGAACCTCGTTCATCATCTCGAGCGCCCGCCATATGGTGCCATTCTCATGCCACTGTGCTTCATCATAAATACCATTATCGATAAGACTATCTCCTTCTTGGATAACTCGCAGCCTGTCTGGGTATGGTCGTAGGTAATAACGTGAACGAGTGAACCACATGATCGAGGCTGCAACGAGCGCCACGAAGCCAGCAGACTTCGCAATCATTTCAATCGGGATACTAGAAGCAGGTTGCACTGGAGCTCTTCACGGCCACGTACTTTAACCATTGCCTCACGAATACATCTCGGTGTGAACGATATGGGGAGCGGATGATTTTGACGGGAACTCTTTGATATGATGCAATGCAATATTTCAAAAGTTCGCGTAGATGCATTAAATGCATCTACATTCCAACAGGGACACGAACAAGAGTTCAGCTACCCCCAGTATTCCGCTGCATCATTTCACCAAGGACCATGCCCACAACACTCCAACGCAAACGGGAGTGCAAGGAGGAAACATGAAGCCGGACAAATGTGGGCATCCATTGCTCTGAAACTCACTTCTTCGTGACGTAGTGTTTCCTATTTCGGTTCAAAAGGGAGACTTATCAACGGAACATGTATTTGGGATTTTAACGCTGGAAAGTCCCGCTGGGTAAAGGTAAATACCAAAAAATTAAAACAACAACGAAGGCGCGCCAAATTGGAATTTTTCTGCAACTTGCATGTAAAACTCGAATCGGTCACCGCGATTAACGTGAGCTTCAGAAGTTCTGAGGGGCACATATTCGCCCGATGGATTCGAAGGTTCTGGATTTGAAACGATCACGAGGAAGGAGAACAGGGCCCCAACTGCTGTCCTGTCTGGAAGTGCTTGAATGAGCCTTTCTGACAGGGTCTTATTTGGGACCCCCTCCGGGTTGATACGTATTATACTGGTTCTCTGGTCTGCTGAGTCTCTGCTACGAGTTGTGCACGTGATTCGATACAGTTAGTAAATAGAAGTATTGAGATCGACGACTGTGCTGTTGGGTTCATAGATGGACGTGACTCACGTCACGTGAGCATTCTCTCTCTGAGTTAGGATTCAGGACGTGCCAGCCACCGCTACTAATAGTAGTCTACTATTAGTGATAGTAGTAATGCTACTGCACACGGCAGCGCAAACCAACTAAATACATTATATTGTTGGAGAGAGTATTGACATTCTCTCGGCGAGATTGAATTTTGAAGATCCCAGTCGACATGACTATGAAGCTCCACAGTTCAGTCTTGCATTGATCATCGTGCAGCTTACGAACTTCTTAGCAAGTGCCCCTGGATGCGCATCGGCATTTGCCGACTTATACTGCGCGATACATCTTCGAGGGTCTTTCATTCAAAAATTCCAGTGGTTTCCAGTGAGTGATGATGGACCATTGATTTCTTCATCACTGATCATGTGAAGCGTTTGCAAAGTCAAAGGTCTGAGACTCGGACGGTGAGTCGGAGTATGAATGGAGGATACCAATGAGTGAGAATATTATTGTGGAAGTTTGATAGCGGGCAAAATACTGCCGAATGCTGTATTGTGTATGAGCTATCAACGAGTGAAAATCCAGCGAGACTTGCTGATACAAAAACCAGCAAACTCCGGGAGAGGCTCTCCCGGAGAGCACTCGTGTATACGGGGAGACAGAGCCTAACGATGTGAAACCACAAGGCTATGGGACACTATCGTAGATCGCCATATGAACACCTCAAAGTTGACTCTTGAGAAACGCTGAGAAAGTCATCCTCATACTTTCAGTACCCGTGCATAGTCAGCCGGCAATGAGCTCGATTCGGGCAGATCGAACCTCATCCATCTTCAGTTTAGTGAATACGAACCACCCAAGATGATTTTGACAGGATCCCACCATTCGATATGATCATAATACTTTTCATCCGTATTAACGTCATTGTCGTTGACAACAGCAAGGCTGTCTGGGAGGGCCAAAGAATGCCACCAACCGTTGATGACAACAGTCATTGCGCAAACCCAGATCAAATGAGCCACGGGGGGGGACACCTGGAAGTCTGTCTCAACGTTCGTCACCAGAGAAGTACGCCCAGTTTGTTCTGGTCACAGTTTCCAAGATTGTTGGCACCACTCGTGCGAGCAGACCAAATATCTTCGCTGAACTCAGTATACACAACACAATTGCACCATTGGTGAAAAACGAGCACTTGATAGCACAGTGCATGCGTCATTGAGAGGTGTGTGGTTTCGAGGCGACACCACCGTAGATCATATCTAGATCACCAGGCACCTCCACGAAGCCTCCAGCGAAAACCACAGACTTGTCCACCATCCCTCCGACAATGTACTGAAGTATCTGACACATTCCAGACGATATCTGCCGCCATCATATAAGTCACCAGAAAAGGGATTTCGACAGAAACGATGCGATTGTCAACTGCTACGAGTCAGGAAATAAAGAAAGATAAAGAATTTGGGGGCAGGATCGGCTATATGGATCTCTATATCTAGCAGTTCCAATGACAATCCATCACGGTTTCGAACTTCTCCTATTTCACGGGTCTGAAGTTAGAAAACTCAATACTCACACCAAGTGGCACCCCTTTGAAGTCCATGCCGGTCCAGTCCTCCTCTGAACCTAAAACCGAGACAGCTGAGCTATACCAGCAATGCTTGGGCACAACCGCTGCAGCACCAGCGCGTCATGATGCTACTTACTCGGAATGAACCCGGTGTTGGCTAGTAAGCGAGTCATTTCCTGTGGAGTTATAAACAATCTCCAGTCATGGGCATCTTGATACATGATCTAAACACGATAATCAAACTGGGAAGTAGCCGAGGGCTCTCGTACTTGGAGGAGCTCTTGTGATATCAACCATAGTAAAACGTAACTCTTCATGGTCCGAGATATGGTGTCAAATACGAGCACACCACCGGGCTTCAGTACGCGATAGATTTCA